TAGGCTTAGGCTTAGGCTTAGGCTTAGGCTTAGGCTTAGAAGTGGATTGGACATAGGCTTTGGCTCACGTTTAGGCATAGGCTTGGACGCAGGGGTTGGGATAGGCGCAGGCGCGGGCGTAGACGCTGGCCGAGGCAGACACAAAGCTGGAATGAGAGGGCGGCCTCGGCCGTCACGGGCGTACGCGTAGTGTTTGACAAACAGCAAAGCGCCATTGAGCATCCAACAAGAAGAAGCATCCACAAGGTCTTGTGAGATTGAAAACAAACTTACGCTTAGTGGATATTTTTTAATCAAATGTAGGTTTTTTCCCCTGGCACATTTTGGGCGTTCTGCACAACCACTTATCAAGTGACAAGGTATTGTGGGATCGAAAAGAAACTTATGGGCAGTGGATACCTTTTTTAATCCGCTTTTTTCGTGACACGACGTTTCGGGTGTTCAACCCTTACAAAGTGACAAGATCTTGTGGAATGGACAAACATATTTTTAGTGGATTTTTTAAATCAAAAATAGTTTTTTCATGATACGACGTTTTGTGTGTTCTGCACAATCCCTTATCATGTGATAATGTTTTACAATACACCAGTCGTAATATAACAATATAACTTCGTTAGATAGAGCGCTCTAAAACCTTGACATAAAACATCTTAAAAACTTTCTAGCCGCAAGTATAAAACACATTTAAATACAATCTTGGCGACACACATATTAACGGTTCGGATTTTTTTATACTGTTACTGAGTAAAAAAAGTCTCTCTCCTAAATATTACTTTGTTTTCAAACTGACAAGCTCTTGTAAATCCTCACGAATAGTGTCAATCAGATGATAAAAGACTTCCGTCATTGGTTTTCTACATTGATATAAAATATCTGTGAAGAATTATACACATTATACATACATACGTATTATTGTAAATAGCATGTTTTTCTCAGAATCGCTGAACTCACGCACAGTGTTCTCTTGATGGTCTTATCCGCCCGGTGTAAAAACGACACACATTTTATCCAAGTTTTATCTTATTAGTTTTAATGTATCTTTACACTTGAGAAATAATACTCGATTTTTTTGGATGTTGTCCCAAGGACATTGTCACAATTAGGGAATACATCTGCCTCTACTTTGACGTAATACCTTTTAAACATTCACATCAAAACACAGATTCTTGAGGTGCCAAAAACTTGTTTAGCAGATCAGGGTGATTTGTTATATTACTTTTAAGTTGATTGTCAAAGAAAGTCGTGCGGCACGATGCAAATTCTTACGAGTTGAACTGTCAGGAATACTAAAAGATCTAAAGAGGCTTCTTATAATTTTTAAGTTGCCAATTTATTCTTTCGCCCGTTCGTGTGCTAAGAATGTTGGATCAACACAGAAACGGTATGAATGTGCGTACAAATAGCCTCTTATGGCCAGCCAGCTTCAGTCCCAGCCAATGCTACTTTCACTAATGACCTTTCTTTGCAGTTAATGAACAAAAATAAAATAATATACGTCTAAACTCAGGGGAAACTTTATCATCCTCAATTCTCAAGATAAGTTTTCGTGCTCTCTGTAATGCTATGCGTAATTTAGGACATTGATAGTTACAATTAGACATACATTTTTGGCGTATTGTTTAGTATCCGACATTATTTCATATAATGAAATGCAAAGGTTCAGCAAACCTTGACATTTCATATTTTTCTTTGTTAAAAATAATGCGTGGAACGTATACATTTAGTCTTAAAGTCCTTGAACTAAATCTCTCTATGAAATCTCAATCACCCTAGATTTGATGAAACGTTTCCTAAACATTTTATTGAGAGCTTATAGGGGAAATATTGATTTTTGGCATTCAAAATGCGCTATGTATTGACCTTGTTGATAACGGCTTGGCCTGCAGAAAATTATTATTTTTGAATTGTGGAGTTGCTATTTTAGAGTTAGCAAAAGACTTTAAGATATTTTGCCCTAGCATTTCATCTTGATATTCTAATTAAGCTTTTGAATTGTAGTCTAAAATTACTGAAACACTCCACTTTAAATTAGTAAATAAATTGAAAAATATTTCAGAAATTGTATGATATGCGTTATGGAAAAAAGATTTTAAGCGAAAAAAACCAGTGTGAGATAGTTTAATGGTTTAAACTATATCTGTAGTATGAATTGTAATAAGATAGAATAAAATCTCGAGTCTTGAATCACTCTGGTTCTATTCTCGAGAGATGTAGAATCTTCCTTTTTTGAGATCATGAGGGTAAAACGCATTATTTGTTCTTAAGTAAATATATTTAAAAGGAAAGGTTTGCAAGTAATAACTTATTTAAATTATTAAGAACAGTAGTGTTAATAAATGGTCAAATCTAAATTTTGTCAAATTAAAAATAAATGTTTGAGAGAAAATAATTTGAGATTGTTTCAACGTTAAAAGAAAATAAGATGTTTAATTTTAATTTTATAATTGGATGTGAGTATTCAAAATTAAAGCGCCCGCATTAGTGTTTTATTTATGTGGTTTGATTTATATTATGTTTTGAATTACAATCATTGTGAAGGTGAATTAGCTATAGCTGGGAAATAGTCTTGGAAGAACTTTGCGGTCCTTCTCAGCGTAAATATAGGCATTTCGTTTGTTTACGAGTTGTCGATGAAACATTCTAAAAGTTACCTTTTAAATATTTCATCTGGTAGAGCAATGAAAGAATACTTTTAATAATCATTGACAGCGTATGAGCTTTGAATAAAAATTAATTGACGTGTGTCTTCATAAAGTTACTTACAATAATTACATATGAAGAAAGTTACAAAACCAGATTACCTTCATTGGAAATGTATAGCTTAACACTGGGATTAATCACAATTGCAAAGTCTTCCTCTTGTTTAAAAAAATCTGCAGCATTTAAGACACAAGTGCTATAACCTTGGATTGCGGATAAGAAATACAAAGGCATACATTGATTCTCAGCGGTTTGAGATAAAGATTTTGCTTTCACAAGTGTAGAAAATAACTGTTGCTCAATTCGCTAACAAATGTTCCCATGATTGTGATACGCATTCACACGTATTCAATCTTTATTCTCAGGCCATGTATATTCAGCGTTTCATATAAAAATTGAAATATAGGTATTAACAACCTGTTGGTTATAACATATGCAATAAAAATTTAAGAAATATAACATTAGGTATTTCAATCAATCTCTTTCGAGAGAGCTGAAGTACGAAAGTAGAATGTCATTTTTAGCGAAATGAAATTTGTGCATTCAGAAAATATATCTCAGTATCAATGTTTTCATTACAAAGAAAAATACTATAGTATTCAAAGGCATAAACTTTTTTTAGGTATTACGATAAATCTATTTAGAACGAGCTTGATGTATTGATTGTATTGATCTATTTCAATATACTTCTATACTTTAATACGTATTTTGATCTATTGAAATAGATCAATCTATTTAGAATGTCAATACCGTGGATATAATTTGTCTAAATATTATTTCTGAGCTTCTTGCCTTTACAATTTATTTCGCAAATTTACAATTTAGGTAATGTGACGTAATATTTTATTCATATTTGAGATAACTTAAGAAAAGCGTACATAAACCTTAAAATAAGAATTAAGTAGACACTAAATTTTATTAGAAAGAATGAACTATGTTCTAAAATGGAATTTAAGTTTACTCTGTACAATATCATTCACACTTTATTTTTGTTTTCATATTTTAAGGCATTTAAACAAGAGAAAAGTTCAACTTTGCAAATTAATATTTTTTTAAAATGTTTAGTCCGAGTTTTACCGTTACCCCGTATATCAATAACTCAGAATGGAAAATGTAACATTTCAAGAATGAGTAACATTTATTACTTGACTGTGAACATTTCATCTCAATTAACTTTAACATCAACTACAAATTTAAACCATTAAGAATGTGGAATACTACTCAAAACAAGGATACAACGTTTGATTTGTGAAGTAAAACTCGTAAATTATTCTTATGAGAAGGAAAACTTAAATTGTCATGTCTTCATTGAAGAGCAGTGTAACGAAAACGAAATGTCGAAAGGGAAAATGAACTAAAAAATACCTGGAGATTTTTCCTTGAATTGCAAAATATTTCAGATCGAGACAGACCAAAGTCCGTGGGTTCGTTTGAGACCAGCATTGTTCGATATGACAGAAATAATGGTAAGTTTTGCGTATTGATATGAAGATTAACGCCAAAAGACAGTTGAACGAAGACAGACGAATGAAGTTAAATAATTGTTATACTCAATTTCAGGATCTTCAGAAAACAAAGAGCCTGTTGTGCCCTATGGGTCCGCATTTCTTCGTCGTTCCTTCCGTCATACATCAGCTGGTAAGAAACTACGAATTCACGGTTTCTTTCATTCTTTTCTTTCGACAATTAATTATTGTTTCCGGGCGTTACCTGTAACTATTAGCTCCGTAATTGTAGTGCATCATTGAAAGTGTCGAAGTTCCTCCCTTGTAAAATTCGGTGCCGACATAAACGTCGGTTTTGCACCCTTTCAGATATCGTTCCGACACAGGCACCTCCTACGTCAAGACAAGTTCTAAGCTCCCGATTGGTCGTCTGACACGTGGTAGTGCATTCTGTGTACATGTGTGTGTTTGTAAGGAGGGGTGACGGAAAGAAGTATGAGAAAAAGAAGATAGCGCAATGTCTGCGGCTCGTTTCTTAATGTCCTGTTCCGGCATTCGTGTGGTTATGGCCATAGATACCATGGAAAACCACAGATTAGAGAAGCTACGTCGTAGAATTCTCTCCACACATTTTATAAAATGGTGTAGTTTAATATTCATTAAGGATTGAAGAGTTGTCAATAACAAAGTATATTACAACATAAATTTAATATAAAGAAAGAACAGCTATACACGCGTTTCGGGACTTAATTTATTCCATCTTCAACGGTTCTACAAAGATGAAAATAAGTAAAAAAGATCATTAGCATATGATTTGATATAAATAAACACACGAATGCAAATTAAATTTGTAAAGTTTATAGAAATAGAATACATAACCAAGTGTCGAGGATAATCGCATTCATACATGTCAAATACATGCACTACACTTACGGATCAACCTCATAACTACCGTAACAGTAGACGCTCCCGGAATCACTAATAAATTAATCAATCAATCCCCCAAAGTATTTGAATCAGAGGCCCGCTTACTAATACAAAGTAAATATGGTAAATTAACGATGTTGTCTGGTATCTAAAAATATATTTTGCTGAAGATTGTTTCGATCACGCAGTGATCACACTCAGAGCTTTCAGTTTCCAGGCCGAAAACAAAGTTCTTCTCATGCGACTTCTTCTCATAACCATCAGTTGGCAAAACTGCCAGGTTACTAAAACATAAAGCGTTGCAAATACTCTCTGTAGATTAAATATTTCAAAACCATTCATTGAAGTTCCTGAAGTTCGGTCGCAGGGGACATAGATCTTTGTTGTTCCAGTTCGATTCTTAATTGTCGTTACTCGTTCACCAATCAATCAACAAATTTTCTTTTTCCTTCGTGTACATCCGAGCAAAGTTGATTTTATCTTCGTCTTGAAACATGCTAATGGATTACAATTGCTTTATTCAGGATATGGAATAGAATTTATATATGATCTGTTGGTTAGAAAGGAATAGTTTCTCAGCAAATTATTTTTAATAAACATTGTCATGATTGATTGATTGGTTGGGTTGGTTGGCGTTTCCGGGCGGGTCAACTGCTGTAATCAGTAGCCCCGTATGTGTTGTGAATGTTACATCTCAAGAGGTGGTTGTATTCCTCTCCCGCGTGAACGAGATCTGCCCCCGACTTACACGTCGGCTCACAAAGTTTCCTTCTTGAGGTATCTTCCCAATGGTGCAACGCCTCACACCGGACACGTCCTCATCACCCGACAAGTTTTCTGTCGTGAAGTTTCGTGTAGTGAATGCAATTGTGTGTGTGTGTAAGGGAAGAGGATGTGACAAAGATAAGTGCGGGAAAATCTTGCGAGATCCATGGCCCTTTTGTAACAGCTCCTTACAGAATGTTTTGTACAGCTCCGTAATTCGCCTGGTTTTCTTCAAAGAAAACACAAAATCTTTCGACCAGAGAGGTCGCCAGTTACAATTCTCTTCCTGTCAGTGGCTAGTATTTACGACTCTAAAACTCCACCCAGTAATTTAGATAGTGTAGAAAAACATTACCGCCCGGCACGGTCTTCACGTCGTTATCCATGGATTTCATTTACCTTTACGCACACACACACACACACGCACACACATAGGCACACACCTTCATGCACTACACAACCTACCAATCTACGTCCAAAAATCGTTCGGACAAGTACGCGCGTGTCCCGGCAGAGGCGTTGCCCCTCAGGCCAAGATAAGTAGAGAGTATTTCCCAGTCTATGCAGTGGCAACAGTTGTCCCCCTGAGCTGGTCTCTATATATAATTGCGTTGTTGTTTATGTGCTTCTACACGAAATCTATGTTTATCCACTGCATTTAATTCCGATATGAACCTTGCGAGGTGGTCGCTTAGTGAGGTGGTTCCTTTGCGAGGTGGACCCTTTGCGAAGTGGTCCCTTTTCGAGGTGGACCCTTTTCGAGGTGGACCGTTTTCGAGGTGGACCCTTTTCGAGGTGGATCCTTTTCGAGGTGGATCCTTTTCGAGGTGGATCCTTTTCGAGTGGACCCTTTTGCGAGTGGACTTTTGCGAGGTGGACCCTTTTGTGACTTTTTTCGAGGTGGACGCCTTTTCGAGGTGGACCTTTTCGAGGGGCCTCGAGGGGACACTTTTCGAGTGGACCTTTTCGAGGTGGACACCTTCGTGCGCATTCGAGGTGGACCTTGTTCGAGGTGGACCCTTCTTCGAGGTGGACGATGCCCTTTTTTCGAGTGGCCGCTTTTGCGAGTTGGGACCCTTTCGAGTGGACCCTTTGTCGAGGTGGACCCTTTTCGAGGTCGGGATCCCTTTTCGAGGGGACCCTTTTCGTGGACTTGAGGTGGACCTTTTCGAGGTGCGACCTTTTTCGAGGTGACCCTTTCGAGGGACCTTTGGTGGGACTCGGTACTTTTCGAGGTGCTTTCGAGACCCTTTTCGAGGTGGACCTTTTCGTGGCTTTTCGGGGATTTTGAGTGACGCTTTTGAGTGCTTGAGGTGACGCCTTTTTCGAGTGGACCTCGAGTGTTTCGAGTGAGACCCTTTTCATGACTTTAGTGGACCCTTTCTCGAAGACTTCGGGACCCTTGTCGAAATGGACCTTGCCTTTTCGAAATGGACTCGAAGGACCGTTTTCGTAATGACCTTTTCAATGGAACCCGTTTCTAATGGACCCGTTTCGAAATGGACCGTTTTCGAAATGAACCCTTTTTGAATATGAACCTTTTTGAAATGCGACCTTTGTCGAAATGGACCCTTTTCGAAATGGCCCTTTTCGAAATGGGACCCTTTTCGAAATGACCTTTTGAAATGACCCTTTTCGAATGGACCCTTTTTGCGAAATGACCTTTTCGAAATTGGACCCTTTCGGAATGACCCTTTTCGAAATGGACCCTTTTCGAAATGGACCCTTTTCGAAATTGACCCTTTTCGAAATGGACCCTTTTCGAAATGGACCTCTTCGAAAATGGACCTCTTCGAATGGACCCTTTTTCGAATGGACCCTTTTCGAATGGACCCTTTTCGAGATTCGAGCATGGAGACGTGCGCGCCTGTGCGCGAGTGGCGGCGAGCCGCGGAGCGACGCGACCATCGCGTCTCGCCGGACTCGACGGCGGGGCCGGCAGAGCGTGTACAACGAGGACGTGGTGGCGTCGCTGTGCCGGGCTGCGCGCACTACATGGTGGCGCCATCGATGCAGTGCAAGCCGCTCACACAAATCTGAAGTTTGCTGCGCGGCCGCGCGCACCAGCACCTGCCCGTGTGCAGCGGCGCCTCTCGGCATCCGCAACGTCGTCGCCGAGGACATGGCGCGCAAAGCTGCTCTTCCCGTGCGTGCACGCGCACGCCGGCTGCTCGCGACAGGTAGATACGAGGCGCTCGCCCTGACTGGCAGCCGTCCGGTGGGTTGGGCGGAGTAGGGTTTTCGGGAGCGGCTGCTACTATAGGCATTGGTCATGTAAAAGAAGTGCGTGCTCTGTCCGGGGTGGCGATCTCACCAGTGGAGGTTGGTGTTAGATTTTTCGGGTGATACCAAATTGTCTCCATATCAGAACGCTTCAAGGTGTAATATTTATTTATTTAATAGGTAATTATTGCAAACGAATTAGATTACTTGGTCCTATGTGGCTAGGCCAAAGGTCTTTAAGCCATTACAATACCTACATCCTTTCACGTTCTAATCTTTCGAATTCTGGTATTCACCCCAAATGTTCTCTCCATCGCATGAAAGCCGCGGAAAAGAGGCCACAAGGTACGGCTCAGGAAAAAACCCCGGAAGGGGGAAAAACCTGCCGTCAGAAGCCGAGTACATTCTAATCTATCCGACGTTTATTTATCTATTTTATTTTCTGGCGCGGGCGTGCCGCCGTCTCCTTCCTGTGCTTGGTCTCCTCAGCACCTGAAATCAAACGGCGCCACAGAAGATCGTCCGCACCATTCATGGTGTAATACATAAACGCGTGTGTAAGGGGAGAGGTAACGGTAAGGTTGAGGAAGGAAGGTCTATGGCCTATTTGTTTGAGTAATCTCCTCTGTATTAGTATTGGTATTGATCTGAGAGCCGTAGCCACGATAGCTACCAGTCAGAGCTGCCGGCCGCTGAAGTATCCTGCAGGAAAATGTTTAAGTCGACCTAGCTATGTAACTAATAACGAAAATCAGCCACAGTCGCATCCGAACCCTAGGATTTTTCGGTCAGAGACGCTGAAGTAGTTAAGGCAGTGCTGCCTCAGAACCAACGTAGTCGGTCTCCATTGAAACTGTGAGGATATCCAAAGGGAGCAAGAATGGTCCTAGTCTCCTAAGTGGCTTGACGTAAGCTTTGGTGGCGCCAAAAAAATTGGCGGCGTTGGAAACCGGAAATAGTCGGGAATGAAGTATTTATAGCAATAATGTGTGCGTGAAGGAACTAAGGCTGTTCTGAGCGATACCTTCAGAGGTGTGTTTACCACCAGACCCCTCTGCTTGTGTTCCGCGAGCCACGCTTGGTGCATGCGTCTTCTCAAGAAAGTAGACGGCAGTCTCTCTTTTAGTTACTACAAGAAGATGGTAAGATAGAGCGTGGTGCCTGTGTCAGATAAGAGGTGTAAGGCCTTAGATACTCGCGGGTACCCATATGGAAAAAACAGTCCTGAATACCTGAATATTAGAGCGATCGCTCAGCGCAGTTGCGTTTAAGAGGTTAGCCACCCGAGCAGTACTTCAGTATCTCTTTCGAAAAGACAACAACGCTGAAAGTAATGAGCAAGAAATAAGTAGAAACCATTCCAAAATTTCAGTTTCTCGATCAAAAATTCTGATTCTTCGCGGAGAAAATATTCTGTGTCCTGATGAGTAGACGTGCATGTCAGGTTTGTTTGAAACAGTGTCTCTAGAGCCGCCGCGGGCATTATTTGTCACCGGAGCCATGTACAATACTTTCTTTTATTTAGATCGTATTCGCAACACGTCTCTTACCCTTCTTGGGCATTGAGCGCTCCTGGAGTAATCCTTCGTGAAGGTGTTGTCTTTCTGTCTCGTCGCGTCGCAGTCAGTGCTATTTGTTCCTTCGGCCAGGGCCTTGGCTCCGTTAGTTTCAGGGTTCCCAGATAGTAAAGTCTCTAGGAATCCGTGGTGTCTCTAGTTGCTTAACTTTTGTGACTTCATGAAGCATAGTTAAGCTATTCGACTAACGTAGCCGGCTTGAAGCTCAATTTCGGGAAATTCGGAGAGAATACTCCGATTCAGACACAATGGCGCTTCAAGACGACCTGAAAGGAGAGGGGACATTGTCATCCATTCGGGAGCTCTAATAACAAAAATTTGAGATGTAATAAAGCTTCCGTCTGGATTACAGTGTTTCCCTCTTCTTTCAGCTCGAACCGAAGGCCGCACACAGAGGGAATAGATGGGAAGGGGTAAAGGGAGTGAGTATCTCTGGTTGTGGTGCATTTTCGGGTGAACGATACCCTGAATCAGCACAGTGGGGAGATTGACGTAAGCTGTCTATCGTTTCGTTAAATGCGGTTCGTGGGGTTTGAAAGGAGTAGGAACTTTTTTAAGAATGGGTGGATAGAGTAATTATTAAACAAAATTAATTATTCCTGCCAGATTTTATTTCCTATATTTATTTTCAACAGCCCTCTTTGACTACCAAAATTCCTTGCTTGCAGAATGGTGATTGTTATATTCATCTTCATAGCTTCTATTCCTTGCAGCTCGTGACAAAAATTAATTATGGAGCAACTTTGCTTGGGGCAAACGTAACAGATTTTGGAACCTCAGTATATATTTTTATAGAGTTAATATTTATTCAGACAATCTATTTAATATACTGTTGGAGAACCTTGAAACTAGTAATTTGTTGAGAATTATTAAAGTTTTCCTTTGTTTTCAAATATTACTATAAAACAGTGTTTAATTTTAATTTGGAAGTAACTCTCATTGATTTTTATCAAACTGTTTTACTGTTTTAACATATTTGGACCACTTCCCAGCCTTTCAGAAATCCAGTACAACCATAAGGATTAATAAACATGGCTCATCGTATATGTATTTGAGTGATGAATGTAGTTTAATGCGACAGCAGCTTTTCACAGAATTTCAATGAATTCTGATACGGAGATAATTTGGTATCACTCGAAAAATTTAATGCTAGTCTGCGTTACTGCAAATAGCGATGGTGTAAAGTATTATGTGCATGTTTTGACAAGCGGAAAATATTCTAATTTGGATTCAAATGTGGTGACCGAAAAGCTTTATAACTGGAGCATTGAAATGAATGCTAAAGAGATGGGAGTCGTGTCACAAATGTCCAACGCACGCGTTGAATCCTTTTCCTGGTGGTTGTGATCACGGCCTGCGAATAAAACACATGCATCCACACAGAGATACATTTCTCTTCAGTATTCTGAGTACCCCTTTCTCAGCATTAGAAATAGATCCTGCAATGAACAAAACCGATAATGTATTTTACTAATTAATTGTTATGTAATATTAGATGTTCAGAGTTTGAATTAATGTGATGCAGTGCCTTTCGTGGTATGTTTTTAATGCTTTTTTTACAAGCTTATAAAAAATTTAATTTAACCATATCAGTGGAATTACCATAAAGGTTTTTTAACTTCTACATTACTTATTTTGGAAATTGTAATGTTTGAATTCTCACATCTCAATTTTCGACACCTTTAGTATATTTTAATATTTCTTTACAAGTTCATTTTTGGCTCCGAACGTTCATTGTGGACGGTTTCAAACGTGAAATGGTTAACGCATCAGCTCTAACCCTGTCCAAGTCCTGGAGTTTTAAGACAAAAATCTCCTTCGTGCGTTTTGCTTTGAGAGGGAAGCATTGAAGAACTTCAATTCACAGACAACCCGGATCGCGAATTTTCCGCATTGCTTTGAGGAAAAGGCAATGAGTGTGACTAAAATTACTTTACGAGCCGCTTTTCTTTGACATTTATTACAGAACACTGTACGTTTTTAATCATTCTATAACCAATCCGCGCAGTAAATGTATTAAGTCAAAATCTGGCAGCGAGCAATGAATTATTTATACCTAAATACATGGTAATATATTATTTAAAAAATAATATATTAGCGTATTATTTATTAAAATATCACAACTATTACAACGTATACACACGTTTTGCTTTTTTAAAGAAGTGGCTTTTTAATAGTTTATCCAATTATGCGCAGCAGATTCAGTTCCAATTGACCGGTAAACTAGAGTTCTACTGTTTAAATGGTTGATCTATGTTACATATTATATGTGACATATAATAGAACGTCAAGCCTTTTAGAAAAATTGTAATACCGGTTTTCTCCATAGAAATTATATCCTTGTTGCAATATACATGCGACGCCTAGCCGGGTCATCTGCATACTGGAAGTTGTTTCCGGACATGGTAATCGAGCTACTGTAGTAACTATTTCAAAAACATAGCTTAAGCAGCATATGAGGTAAAGAATAACTCTCCATACGTACGAATGTTATTTATGAATCTGTACGAGAGATTGGTGTCGAGCAATTCGTGGTTTCGTCATCTCTTGTCCTGCGCTGCGAGGTCTGCAAAACGTCTGTCGCAAGCAATACAAACACCACTCAACCCGGAAAACGTTTATCGGGGACCAATCGAGAGCGAAGTTTCGCTGAGAGACATTTACGCGCAGCGTGCGGTGGAGGCGACTGAGGCGCGCGTGCGTGCGTACGTGCAGGTGCCCAACGACGAGCTGGAGTTCCACGAGCCGCGCTGCCCGTACCGCGTGTACAACTGCCTCATCAACGTCGCGAGCGGCGTGCCCTGCAAGTGGGAGGGGCGGCGCGTGGACCTGGAGGAGCACGTGGCGGCCATGCACCCGCGCTACTACTCGGCGCAGGTGAGCCGCTCGCCGCTCGCCCTTGTGCCCCGACCACTCGTCTCGCTTGGCCTGTGGGTTGGGGTACGGGTTGAATGTTGCGGTGGTCCCCGTGTCTACTCGTGTCGTTTATGTGCTTTTGTTTGATGATGCACGCTCTCCTGTAACTCCCCACTACACCCTGCGTGCTTTTCTTATATCCCCACTCTCCTTCCCACGATCTGACTACACATTTATATTCCCTCAAACAAGATCAGACAGAACCATTTTATTCCCTCCCTCAAGCTATACGGTTTGAATGTTCCGGTGGTCCCCACGTCTACTCGTGTCGTTTCTGTGCTTTTGTTTGATGATACACGCTCTTCTCTGACTCCCCATTAACACTTTATATTCTGGAGTATATTTCCTCTCACGTTTTTCCTATACCCTTACTCTCCCTCCCACGATCTGGTTTCACATTTATATTCCCTCATTCAAGATCAGACAGAACCATTTTATTCCCTCCCTCGAGCTATACGGGTTGAATGTCCCGGAAGACCCCGTGTCTACTCGTGTCGTTTCTGTGCTTTTGTTTTATGATACACGCACTTCTGTGACTCCCCATTAACACTTTATGTTCAGGAGTATACTTCCTCCCACAAGCTTTTCCTATATCCCCACTCTCCCTCCCACGATCTGACTGCACATTTATATTCTCTCATACAAGATCAGTCAGAACCCAAATAAAATTCCCTCCCTCGAGCTATACCTACATATTTACATTACATCCCACGATATTTACCTATGTATTTATATTTCCTCCCTCGAACTCTGTCTATATCTTAATTTTTCCTCCCATGAGCTCTGCCTACAACTTTATACTCATTTCCACGAGCTCACGCCTTTATATTTTCTACCACGACATCTGCCTTTGCCTTTACATTCCATTTCACGAGCTCTGCCTACGCGTTTTATACTTCATCTCACGAGCTCCACCTGTACCTTTATATTCACTACCACGGGTTTTGCCTACACCTTTATATTCCTTCACAGGAACTCTGCCTACATCTTTATATTCCCTCCCACGAGCTCTGCATACCTCTTTATACGCTCTCCTTGGAGTCTCTACATCTTTCTAAACAATTATCTCACCTTCGCCCTTTTCACTACCTTCTCTTCTTTCACGATTTCCATAGGCGTCATAGCGTTTTTACCATCCTGTATGCCTTGTTTTCTGTCATTCGACTAGACGCGCAGTCTGGTTGCTGCTTACACTTTCACTCTCTTATCCGTTCCCATATATCACATTTCTCTGGATCTTCATTTTTGGACTCTTCATTTCTCTGGACTCTTCATTTTTGTTTCGTGCTCGTTGGATTGTATCTCTTACTTTTACTCTTGTTCTTCCGTGCTCTTACCGCGACTTTCTGCGACCATAGTTTTATTTTATACTATTTTCTCGTTTTATTTTATTTTTGCACTTCTATCTCATTCCCCAGGGTTTCATCCTCTTCTTCAATCTTGAACGAGAAAAATACTTTTTATCCATTGAATCTTTCGCATAATATTATCGAATAATAATATTAATAACATTAATTTTATACGCCGAATACTATTGCTATGATCGGATTGCAAAAAAAAAAATAGGTCACTATCTGACAGCATGATAGTAAAATTGTTAAAGAGTGGACGTACAGTACTGTGCATTACTTTGACGTGAACGTTACCTTAAAATTTTTGCGATATGAATTCAGTAGCTTTGATTCAGTCTGCTGTTCACTGTAGACAAATATAATGTATGTCGAATTCGAATTCAGGATTTGCTACCATTCTCAAAAATTGTTCGGTATCATAGCCCGTCTCATTACTAAAAACTGCAATTGTGTTCATGAAATAATACAATTTTTCTTCCATTAATGTTTAAGCTATCTTCATTCTGTACAGAATCATAGAAAACACTATAAATGTTTTGGACAGATACTAATATGCAATGATAGAAAATTTAAATGGCACATAAAGTGACAAATATCTGGGTTTTAAAATACGAAGAAAATGAAAATTACATTGAGACATGTGATGTTTTCTTTGCGGACTTAAGGTTTAAGTATTAATATCGTTGAATTTTAATGTATTTAAAAATGGGTTTTGTATTTAATTAGGGAATTGTTTTTAATATACAACCAATATACTAGTCACTTTGCAGATTGGTATAGACTGCGGTAAGATAATATGACAATTAATTTATATTTCTCGGGCCATTTCCATATCTCTCTCCCTATTTTTCTCACAAACTGTATTTATTTCTAATTACGTTATTGTCTTCTGAAAATATACTATTTACTGTTCGTCCTCCGTGTACAGATATACTCCATACGTTCGATGTCTCGTGTAAGTCTATCTTTTCTGAGCCTCAACCTGGCTGTTGTCTTGTTGTGTTGTTTCATAATTTCTTCGTGCATTGTAAGTCGTGCTTGGCGTACTCAGGATACTTCCAAGCAAAGGCTTGTATTTCTTTGGCATTGTGTTGAATATCCTTTGGATGACATACACTTTTGACACTAACAATTTAGGCATCAAAAAAGTCAATAATAATCTAAAACACGTTCATTAATGGAAAAAAAAGTGGATTTTCCCCACTTAACAAAACATAAGAATTTTTACTAAACCTGAAAACTTCTACATTTCGGATATCTGCCGTTACATTCCTCCCAGGAGACGACAAAGTGGCGGTGGTCGCCCAACCTGCTGGTGAAAATGGAGGACTTCCAGCTGATCTCCGCGTTCGGGGAGCTGTTCTGGTACTGCGCGGCGCAGGACCCGGAGCGCCTGCGCGTGTGCTGGTTCGTGCAGCACATCGGCTACGACCAGGACTCGCTCAAGTACGAGTTCCGCTTCGCCTTCACGGACGAGGAGAAGGACCGGCGCCTGGAGCTGGCGTGCACCACCCTGCCCGACTACTCGTCCGTCGGCTCCATCGTGGAGAGCGGCCGCTGCCTCGACATGTCCTACCAGCAGGCCCTGTCCTTCGTGGACGAGGAGGGCACCATCAAGTTTTCTGTCACCATTTACAAACTGGAATGATGGCGCGGCTGATGAATGTGTCTTTGGGTAGGATTAATACCTTCAAGAACCCTAAAGATGACCAAAGTAGGGGCCTCTTAATAATATTGAAATAATGAGCCTTCGGGACTAAAACCGTATGAAAATAAATTAGACCCCTTCAATTTACAGATTCAATTTATATATACTCATGTTTTAAACTTCAATTGATTTGAAAAAACACATTATAATACACTTTTTAAAACCGAAATTAAATTTATTATTCTTTACTATTACAATGAAACAATTAAATTACTTCTATAAACTTTCGTTTAAAAATTTATAGGGGTCCCTAGGGAGGCCCTAGGCACATACGTTGCCTGCTTATGTGTTAATCCACTCCTGGGGGAAACTGAGAGAAATTTGGAACAAAGTGGGCTGGAGTAGCAGCCTACTAAAATGCAACGCAAATATTTATGTCTGAGAATGGTGAAAAATAAGGAAAATGCTTGAAATGTCTTATAGAGTTGTCAGAGATTTTCTACCATATTGTGCAGATGTAAGGATGAGTAAAGTTTTCACTTACTCAGATACTGATTGTGGTATCACATAATAAAATTTAATATCTATCGATTCATGAATTGTTATAATTTTAAAACTATTTGAGTTCAATTTTGATGTACTCTAGAATATTCAAATACTTTTGTCGTCTTGCAGGAAAAAACATTTTTGCCCCAGCATCTGTTAAGAGTGTGTTGATGTAATACTCTCATTTAAATGGATCTAAATCTTATTCCTTTAAACTAATAAGCAATATTAAAACGAAATAATCAATTTTTTGAGAGATCAGGCAATAAAATAATGTTTTACTTTGTATTCATATTATTTCTAATAATCAAGTTATAAAGGCACTATTATGCTCACTAAACTCTTTACGCATTGCTCTGCTTACTCAATTATTACATTCTAAACGTGCTTTTACACACATAACAAGCTGCCTCTCTCCAAATTATTAATCGTAATTTCGAATAAACTTAATTTTGTGGGAGCATTGAGAGACCTATCTGGAAGAAAGGGTGTCTGAATATAGTGTCTTGTTTTTTGAGCCTGATAATCCGCACAAGGGCGGGGAAACGGCGCAATGTAGGAAGATCTGACGGCGAACGCCAACTCTGCACCAACCTTCCTGGCAGCAGGCCACTCTGTCGGGGGCCGCGCAGGGCTTCAGCGCCAGCAGTTGGGCGTCCCCGCGTCACCTGACCGAGCTCCAGCGGTTCCATCTGCGTTCTGAAATACCAAATCACCCGAGACCCGCAACGTCCTGATGGCGATCGATATATCGGGGAGGTTAAAGTCTGTCAGTAGAGAAGAAACGGTACTGTTTGGTCATTTTCAACTATCGAGGTTAAGATAAACCGGTTTGAAGTGTGGGTCATGATCATTAGATTTCCCGTTAGTGGGAGTCAACACTGCTGCAGTGCTGATGATGGCCAAGGTAGGGAAATCGGTTTATCTGAATAAAGTTGACAATGACCAAATCGATCTTTCTTTTATGAAGGTTACGAGTCCTAAATTCTAATATATCTAAATCAGTTGGAGTTTCCAAATAATTGTATAATATTAACAATCATTTTAACACAATGTATTAAAGACAAAGCTTGTTCTTTAATCGGATTAATTTTCATTGAGTGTAGATGATTAAATTTTCATAATACCAATGTAAGTACTACAAAAGTAACATTTTCACTTAGTAAGTAAAGAAAGCTCATTTTACTTACATTAATGTTTAACTTTCTCAGAAATACACATAATACTTTAGATGTTGTCCTAAACAACGTTTCGTCCTAATTATCGTTAGTACTTTGAGTGTCTTAACTAACTTGCAGAAGTATTTTCAATAGTACATGCTAGGTTTCGTGATACAATACGATTTGTATTATCATAAAAATTAGCACGCGAGTTGTGGATTGTAGAACACTTGAATTAAGAGGTGAACGGGCCAATAAATAAAAAAGCTTAACATAGAAGCGTAGGGCAGATTAGCTGTGAAGCGCAGTAATAGGAAAGTTGTATCTATTTAATTAATAATATTTTAATTCTTATTCATACATTTATTCGTTTGATTCCTTACTCCCAAACATAAACCAGGGTCCAAGAATTTAGGTAGAGCTTTAATTAAAAAAAATAAATCCTCCAATATTAAAAAATTGTAAATTTTACATAATATTACAAATAATACAAAAATAATATTAAATCATAATCTATTTTCTTATTTCACAAGAAGTGAAAAATCATATAAATTGAAGTGCAGAGTAATGAGGAAATTTGTTTAAAACAAAGTATAAGATATTCCGAGGTCAACGAGGATGTGGATGATGCGGTATTATCTTGGCTTATCGGGTATGCATTCGTGCCGTAAATTGAAATATGTAACGAGTTTTACTTTCCCTTTCACCATAATGAGTCTTCTAAATCATTGACCTAGAGCACCTGAATTCTCTCTCACCAAGTTCATCACCATCATCATCATATCCGGATCTTTAATTATTGTACAAGTGTGTTATCTATAGTGCTTCAGTTCCAACAAAGCACCTTTGCTAATGAAGGCCATAAAACATGTATTTAGCCAGTATTAATCGTCGTTCAAAAATAATTAAATATTGATTTTTTGAATTATTCTCATTACTATTACTGTTTTTGAAATTATATATAAAACATTAAATATTTAAATAACTACAGAATTTATTTTCCCCTGTGATATTATTTAGTCTTGGTGCTGAGAATGTCAAATATCCATTGCTCTCGGAATTCGAATTTAGGATCTCCGGGTCAACGGAACTTTAGGTGTTAACTTATCCCATCCCATCCGGGACATGAAACTTCATTTGTTAACTTATCCCATCAAGTGCATTAGATGATATACCAAATTTTCGTTGTAGATTATTATTTTATGTAAATTATTTATTTATGACAGGTGCCAAAAGGGCCTCAGTTAGATTAGATCTTCAAAAATTACATTTTACAATAACATTTATTTATTACAGTTTTAAAACATATCCATTACTGATGAAAAGTGACAACTTTTAACACCTCAAAAACTTGAACTCTTTCCATTACACCACACATCCGTCTATCTATTCATCAGTTTAAATGAAGATTGTAAAACTTCTCGAATACTAATGTTCCAGTAATAATTCTTTACGATACTAGTAGTAGAAGTAGCCTTTTATTTTCCGATTACTAAAGATTGTAAGGCGAGTGGCGCAATTCCTTAGATTTGCGAAATGAAATAATTTTTCCCACGTATGTCATACACAATTTTCTCACTGAATCTAATTTTATTTTGATTAGAGTATACAAATCCCATAATTAGTACTATGTTACGTGAAGGGCAGCGGTAGCCGTCAGATGAAAGAATTTTGATTAATTTGTTATAGTCATACGCTTTTATGAACATTTGAACATCATATCACCTTTATCACTAGAGCTAGAAATTGAACTTTTAGCACACAGTGCATGCCTTAACATTTACTATAGGATGTCTAAAAATGAGTTTTTCTACAACGGAATAAAACGGCGGATTCTGCGCATTGCTATCCGCACGTGAAATGAATAATTTTTTTCAGTAAAACTAGACGGTTGACAAAGTATAGAACATCCAACATGTCTTGATTGAACAACCCTGACAAAAAGTACTTCACGCCTAGAAATATAACGAAGTAAACACACGTATCTCTTAGCAACACTTCCGCATTCATGGCCTTATTTAATACTGCTATCCCCCGAGATATCAGACTCTTTTATTTCAATATAAATTTACAAATGTTTTCAAATATAATTTTTATGCAGTTGTAAAAAAAAAGTTTTTCATATTTCGTGAGAAAAATAAGTGTTTTTTGATAGTATTGATGTAGTTTCTTCGCCTTGACCTACGGTCTCGGCAAAAAATCAAGACCATGATCAAATCAACCACTATAGTCATTTAAAACGAAAAAATATCTATTTTGGCCAGTTGAAGGGGGCCCTGCCTTCATGCCCTGGTGGTGGGTGAAGAATACAATTTTTGTACAGTTGTAGAATATTGTTCGTATTTCGTGAGCGAAGCGAGTGTTTATTTCAATAGTCAAACTTGATTTTTGTTTGCCTAAACCTTTAGCCTCGGCAAAACAATTCAATCGAGACCATAAAAAAATACCCAATTCAGCTATTTCATACGAATAAAAAAACTATGTTGTAGTAGTGATAGTGCCGATTTGGTGGCCGAGATCGCTAAGGCAGTAGTGCCGTAGCGATCCCGTACCGAAAGATCGCGGGTTCGAATCCCGCCTCGGGCATGGTTGTATTGTGTTCGTCCTTTCTCCCCCCTATCATCATCATCATCATCAATCATCACAACGGGAAACCACCCTGAATAACTTATCCCAAGAAAACCCGTTATGGGTCACCTAACTTCCGTATATGGAAGATAGGACCAAAGAAGAAGCAGTGGCGCGGGGCGCGGGCTCACCTGAGCGCGATCGCGAGTACGAGTGCGAGTAGTGGCGGAACATAGGCGGCGTCTCCTGGCCGCTCAGCTGCGCCTTCTTGCGCGGGCACCGCCACGTGCACACCGCGTCCTTGAAGTACTGCCTGAACCTGCAACACGCACGTGCCAACATCAGCGCCATACCAGGCATCAGTACACGAGGCGGATTCTATCATAATGCTTTAATTATCACTATAAAATGTGAGTCACGCAAATTGGTTGTAACTTGTTTATTCCTTCCGTCAATGATGGTCTTCTTGACTTATATGTTGGTCATGTGACTAGAAGAAATTCAAAATAATGTCGTCAGATGGACACTGTGTTTATCGTTAACAGCCAATATTTCATCGTAAATTTGTTGGAAGTTCTAACCTTTCATATTCAAGAACCATTTTTTAAATTGCAAACCCCAGTCTTGGAAAAGTTCAGTCAAGAAGGCAAGCCTCATTCTTCTCCATTTTATAGTTTGGCCACATTGAGTATTATTTCCAACGATAAAAAAACAGTGCGTTTCTTGTCTCACCATCATGGACGTATGGATCACCGAGTATAGTGAAAAAAATGCATTAGTATTATACGATCATTTTTGGTGATAGTTAAAATATTACGATATCCCTTCGTATTGAACATTTTTCCGTTTAATTTTGCGGAGGGCGAAGTTTCCAGGAAGCAGCATATTGACCGATACCTAAACGCATTTGGCTCTTTTTTGTGCTTCGCATGCAGCGAATGGAAAAGCAGAACGTTATCTTAGTTGGGGAGTATTTTGATTGATTAATGTCACAGAATTGTACGGCAAAATGGGACGACGTTCTCTCTAAATGTTGTGTTACTAAAAAAAATTCCCCGTAACATTTTCCCCCAAAGGCATCGTACATTTTTTTTCTCGCATATAGAGTTTTTGATGTGTGAGCTATTAATAACTGT